GGGCCCCGCACCCACCAGCGTTACCTCCCTGCGCACCCATCAGGTCCCTCCTCTCCCCACACGCCATGTGTCGGGACTCTGCTCCCAGCTTCAGCAGCCTCTGGGATGTCCCCCAGCCTGGCCAAGCTTGGCCTCAGCCTCTTCCCTCCCCTGCCCCACAGCCCTGAGGACCCCTGCCCCACGCAAACTCACCCGGAGCTGCTCCTCCCTTTGCCGTGCGCTGTGGAGACAAAAAACCATTTCTGGGCTCAGAGAGGTGGATGGCGCCGTCCCAGAAAACACCCCTTCCCCAGGCAGAAACATGCGCAGAAGGTGGGATGGGCCCTGGGCTTGTGCCCCGAGCCCTGTGCCGCACAACGGGAACAGCCAGCTCCCTCCCCAGCCCCACACCTACCAGGACAGCACAGTTTCCATGTCCTGCTCCGCCTGTGCCAGCCGGGCCCGAAGCGCCTCCAGCTCCTCCTGCAGCAAACGACACGGTGCGGGTTAGGGAGACGTCACGCCACGGCCTGTCTGTCTGCACACGTAGCCACCTCTTGCCCCCATCTGTCCCTCTGGCCATGCATTCACCCGCCAACCCCCAGCCCAGCCCCAGCCTTGTCCCTCTGGTCCACCCCTCCATGCAGCCAGGCCCAGCCCACTCGGTCTCGCTCACAGCCCCCAGCCCGCCTGGGTCCCGCTCACCTGCTGACGGCGCTGCCCGCCACGGGGTTTCTCCGCCTGGGGAAGGAAAGAGCTGCTGGGGCGATGGACTCCCCTGGGCAGCGAGTTCCCCAATTCCCCAGGGTGCAGGGACAGGCAGGCCAGCCCCTGCAGCCCTGGGGTTGGGCAGGGCTCACAGCCCTGGGTCCCAGGGGTGCCAGGCGTTGGCTGTTACCACCCATCTCAGGTGAGTCCCCACCTCCCACTCAGGGTCCCAGGTGCCCTCCGACACTCTGGTTTGGGAAGGACTGTCCCTGGGATCGGGGGATGAGCCCACGACCCCCTCCCTTATTCTTGCAGGGCCCGTGGAGTCGGCAGAGAGCGAATCTCTCCCCCGGGGTCTCATGTGCAGCATGGGGGTGGGAGGGGCACGACGCCCCTGGTGACAGATCCCAGACTACCAGATCAGCCCCCTCCCAGCCCTGGGGAGGGCAGAGACTCATGGCAGCAGGAGGGGCCGGCCACATCTCGGCCCTGGCAGAGCTGCCCCGCACAGCTGGGAGGGTCTCCCCCACCCCTCCACTTCCCCCCGGCACTGCTCCTGGCCCTGGGGGGAGACAAGGGGCACCGCGTCAGCTGCACCCACTCTGCTGCCAGGGCGCACGGTGACCAGCCCCTCTGGGACACACCACGTGGGGGCACCTGCCAGGAGTCCTGCATGCCGCAAGGGCAGGGCCTTCCTGCACAGGGGTCGGGGGGGAGTCTCTCCAGGGAGCAGGTCTGGGAGACACCCCAGGGATGTGGCTGGTCGCCTGAGATACAAATGCCCCTGGCAGGGGGTGGGTGCCAGGGGGTGAAGGGATGAGGGGCAGTAAGACTGGGGAGGGATCTCGCGGCCCAAACAGGCATCTGGAGGGTGGAAGAAAGTGCCGTGGGGCTGGAGGGGCTGGAACAGA